AAAGATAATGAAAAATAACTAAAGCATGAATCATTTGCTCTTCTTGTAGGTTTGTTTAGAATTTAAAAGGCATTTACCTAAAATGACTCTTGGTTGAAGTTAACAAATCAAAATTACAATCACAAAATATTTAATGACTAATATGAGTAAAAACATTATGTAATCAAAATGAATGAGCTATATAACAAAAGCTTAACTGTGAGACACATACATTCCCTAAAAATACTCCATCCCTAAACTAAAAGGAATAAAAATAAAGAAAAATTATTTTTACCTCCAAAAGTAGAAAGAGCAAAAATAAAAAAAAACAAAAAACAAAAAACAAAAACTAATTAAAGGAGAAACACATCAATAAAGATTAAAGGAGAATGAATACATTAAAACCCTTAGAATATTTTTAGAATAAAATTAACAAATGGAAGGGTTTTTTGGGGGAGGGCAGTAATCTAATTAATATTAATCAACATGTTGGAAAAAGGGAAGAGTATTTCCACGCTTTGAAGATTAGACAGAAAAAAGAGATGTTACTAATGAACATTTTACACCTAAAGATTTAGACATGGTCAGTTATATGCATTGGAGGCTCCAATTTGTCAGCACACAACCTATAACTTCATTAATCTTTTCCTATCATATTGCCTCAGCATATTAAGTAATACTAGTAAGGTACTGTCATTTGTTAAACAAATCAAAATTTCCTTATATTAGCAAGAAGAAGGAAAGTTTGCCATTCTTTAAAAAAAAATGGAATTTACTACATTTTATTGAATTAGGAAAAATACCTGTTCCACAACAACAGAAATCATAGACAAATCCAATAATAAAACTATCTTATGACTTCATTGTCATTGTACGAATGAAGGGGATAAGCCAAGAAGGTCAAGGAACTAATATAAGACTTCAGTGCTACTCAGTTGGAACAAGCTCTAGTCTCATGATTCCAGGTCTATTCTTTGTCTATATATAGCTCCTCACCAGACATGAGGCCAAGAAACTGTTCTAAAATTTTTTGAAAACATTGGTCTATGATGTTCCAAGTTTTTCTGATCATTAGATATAAACTCGGTAGCACAGAGAGATCAAGTATGTTCGTAATATTAAATAGGCAATTAGTGGTTGAGCTCATCACACTCTCCTTCTACACAGACACTTTAAACAGGAGAAAAAGCCAACCAATCCTCGTATATCATAACATTTTCACTTTCTCTTTAAAAACTTCCTGAAAGCACTAAATAATAGCCAGTTTCTTGAGTTCCCATCTCCCAGGATTTTGGCAGGGCCCTGACAGAAGAGCAGTCCTGGACTTCTTTTGTGGAAGATAAATCAATCACTTACTCAATCTTAGACTGGGTGCCAGAACCTGGAGGCTTGCCTATTTTCAGATTTCAAATGCCAATAAGAACTCACTGAAAGGTACCAAGGGACGTGGTAGGTGACAGCTCTTGGCCAGTTAGCTAATTTGAGAGATGCTGTCTTAACAGTTTCAGGATAGTAAATTAGAAAGAAGAGGCAGCTTTACGGTCAAGAATAAAAAAATGCTTGCCTATTTAGCTCTTTCTCACTCCCTAGAGTTCCATTTCTATTCTCCAGTAACTACTCAGTTTCTAGATTGCAAAAGGAAAATTAATATAAAACTAATGTTTAATATTTTTTATTTGAAATGCAACATTTCAACATATCTTACAGGGCTCAATTACCAGTATTGGACAAACCAGACTATCCTCCATTAGAATATAACTGCAAGAAGTTACAGAGCAAATAAAAAGCTTCAGCAAATTTTATGAGTGGTAGCAATCTTGAGATCAGGGTAAACGGTCGCCAGTTAAAAGACACTAAATCACTTTTTTTTTTTTTTTTTTTTGAGATAGATTCTCACTTTGTTGCCCAGACTGGAGTGCAGTGGCACAATCTCAGCTCATTGCAACTTCTGCTTCCCAGGTTCAAGTGATTCTCAAGCCTCAGCCTTTCAAGAAGTAGCTGGGACTACAGGTGTGCACTGTTATGCCCAGCTAATTTTTGTATTTTAGTTGAAATAGGGTTTCAACATGTTGGCCAGGCTGGTCTCGAACTCCTGGCATCAAGAGATCCACCCACCTTTGGCCTACCAAAGTGCTGGGATTACAGGCGTGAGCTACTGTGCCCAACCTCACATTTTCATTAAGATTTGCAAACACAATTCATTGAACAAGAAGAATAAACTCTAAGAAACATGAGCAAGCAGAGAGTAAGAGTTACCTGATGTCCAAGGACACAGAATATAGAGGATAATACCAAAACAAAAAAAATAAAATAAAGCAGTTTCATGAGGACAAGATAATGAATAAATATTATTTCTACACCTGATTTTTTGAATTACATATTATATTTCCATATTAAGTGCCAGGACTCTATCCATCTCTTTCCCCATACTGAGGCTAATGTTATACTCTTTAATTTCCACCAATTTATAGTGTATATTGTTATCTGGGAAGACAAATTTTCCCTTCATTTTTTAAAAATTCTACTTTTAGAATTTTAAATTCTTACTTGATTCTAACATATTTATAAACTTTGGAATTAGTCTGTTAAATTCTGTGTTTAAAATCTCATTAGAATTTCTAACTACAACTGCATTAAATTTATAAATGTTATTAAAAGAAATAGAAATGTTTGCAAGATTGACTCCTTCTGCAATTTGAATCTTCTCATCAAAGTCACAGAATGTCATATATGCAGGTCTTTCATATCTTTTGATAAAATGCTAAAGATTTCTTTGCATACATACTTGATGTTATTTTCAATGTACTCTTTGCTGTTTTGTGCTGTAATATAGAAATCTTACTGAATTGTACATAGTTTCATTCCAGGCACCTTACAAACTCATTATTTCTAATAGTTTTTAGACAATTTTCAGGGGTTTTGTAGGTATTTGCCATTTGCAAAGAAAACAAAATCATTTTATTTAGAACGATTTCTTTTTGCATTTTTTAGTTAAACTGCTTTTAGAATCTCCTTAACAGTACTAAATCATAATATTGTGCTGATCTTGGTTGAATGAGCATGACACTACTTTTTCTCCATCAGATATACTGTTTGAAATAAGATACTAAGAAACACCCTTTATCAAACTAAATAAATTTGGTTACTAAGGACTTTATTAACAATGAATTTTTATTTACTAAAATTTCCAGTATCTGTTAAGATGATCATGTTTTACTTTCTTTAAATAACCAGTGAAGTTTTATTTACTTAGTGCTTACTCTGTGCCAGACAGGAATCTATGTTTTATATCTATTATCTCATATATGCTTTATAAGCACTCTGTATGTAAGGAAGGTTTTCTTGCTATTTCCATTTTAGAAATGAAGAAACTGAGACATGAGTCATTTATATAGCTACAAAGTGGTTGAGCCAGATTGAATGTAGGCCTGAATTTAGATTCAGATTTCATATGCCTAGAACCATTCTTAAATCCTTGCTAATAAACACTTCTTATCAAAATCTCCTTTAAGAATTTTCAATCTATCTTTACTGGTGAGATCAGTCTATAAGTTTCTTTCTTGTTCTATCCTTTTTTAAATAAAAATTGTGCTACTGTAGAATGAATTCAGAATTCTTCTGTGGTTGCGATTCTTTAGGATGGTCTCCCTGATATCCACCTCCTAGTATTCACAACTTTGCAGTTCCCTCCCACATTGTGCCAATGGGACAGAAATGATAACATGTCACTGCAAAGATTTATGTCAACAAACAAACAAACAAACAAACAAAAACAATTCTGCAGCCCCCATATTAGATTCTCTCTCAGATCAATTTTACTCTAGTGAAGGCAGAGGCCCACACGTAGAAGTACAGAGTCTCCCAGTACATCTACTGCAAGGAACTGAGGCCTGTCAACCATCACTGAGAAAGTTGCTAGTGGATCCTCCAGTTTCAGAAGACTGCTGCTCCAGCTAATAGCTTGCCTATAACCTCCTTGAGAGACTCTGAACCAGACATTCCCAACTAAGCCCCACTTCCAGATGCTTGACCCTTAGAAATTGTGTGAGGTAACAAATGTTTATTGTTTTAAGCTACCAAGTTTTGGAATAATTTGTTATGCAACAATAGATAATGAGTATAGTTGACACTGTATTTCAATTATCATAAAAATCAACTATTCTGAATACAACTGATAGGTAAACCTGGTACTTTGGGGAAGACATTTGTTCAATCACCTTTAATATATTTTTTCTAGGATAGTCAATTTAGATTCTTTAAATTTCTTTCTGGTTATAATTTTTGTGAATTTATTAGAATTAATGTTGCTATCTAATACATGACCAATTTTTAAAAAGTATTTTTGGATATTAAAAACAGTGCTTATTTACTTGCTATTTAGTAGAAAATTTTCCTTTGTAGTGCTATTTAATTCCTTTTAACCATCACTCCTGTTTGTTTCCATGATTCATTTATGAAAGAAATAAAATCTTAGACTATGGGAAATGTTCCCTCATTTGTCACACACCTTAATATCTGCATCAAATATGCTTGATTTTCCACTATCTTCTGTATTCTATATGTACACAGGTGTGTATTTGTATGTTTGTGCATTTTAAATAAGGTTTAAATGAAAATTGGATTTTGAAAAATATTTGACTAAGTTTATTTTTTAACTACTTTATAAATATGTAAAGTTATATGGCAATACTACTAGATTTTAGTAGATGTTTGGCATCTCAGACATTTAGACACATAAATCTTCACTACTGTATTATCTTCACAAAAGAACCTTTCAATTTCTCTTTTCTACAATAAAATAAAAAATATAAAAACATGATTAGAAACACAGTAAAGAATCTAAAATATAATTAAGATTGAAATTCCTATTAATTATAGAAATTTTCTGTATGAAATATAGTATTTAAAAGATTCTAAGTCCTTATCATTTTTAATTAAAATAACTATTTCAAAAACTGTTATTACAATCCTCTTGTCCAAAAGAATTAACTTATGTATAGCGTGAAAATAAAATAAAATACCTTCAGGTTATATTTATGAGCTTTATCCAAAACAGTGGGTACCAAGTCGTCAGTAGGTTCTCCATTTTCATCATTTGCATTAGGTGGGTACCAAGAGAGGGCTAGTACACCTAATAGAAAAGACCAAAAACAAAGGGAAAAGACAGGAACATGAATGCAGACATTCTTAAAAGGGCATAGTAAGTACCAAATAGTTAACAATAAAAGAACATATTTACACAAGGTGGTTTTGTTAAGTTCCTTCAGAATACACGGAGTAATTTGATTTCTTTGTCAATATTTAAGACCTCTTTAGGTCATAAAAAGGCATTAATATGCTTTTGTAAAAGTTAACAGACTTTATTTTAGAGTAAGTTTTAAGTTTACATAAAAATAGCAACGTATGGAGTTCTCATGCAGTCTTCTTCCTACCTGCCCCCACCCTCCACATGGTTTTCCCTATTACTAACATCTTTCATTGGTGTGGTATATATGCTACAATTGATGACCCAATGTTGAAAGATTTTTATTAACTGAAGTCCATAGTTTACATTATGGTTCACGCTTTGTGTTGTATGGTTCTACAGGTTTTGACAATTCCATTATACCATATGCCCTCCATTACAATAGCAGACAAACTAGCTTTACATGCTCTATAAACCCACTGTGAAATACTGATTCAGCCCTGTTCCCTCTCCCCCTCACCCCTAGCAATAACTGAGCTTTTTACTGCCTATAATTTTGCCTTTTCCAGAATGTCATGTAGTTGCAATCATAAAGTATGTAGCTTTTCAGAACTGGCTTCATTTATTTAGCAACTTGTATTTTAGATTCCTTCATATCTTTTTATAACTTGACAGTTCATTTCTTACTGCTGCATAATATGCCACTGTATGTATATTTATACATTCACCTAATGAAGGACATCTTGGTTGCTTCTGATTTTTGGCAATTATGATTAAAACTGCTATAAACATTTTGTATGCTGTTTTTGTGTAGATCAATATCTTTTAACAGAAGATTTGAACATAATAAAATAATTACTGCTCCTCTCTGTAGTGCCTGCCTACTTATTTTTAAACTGATATATTACATGTTAGAAACATAAATTACATGGAAATCACAAACTAGAGACAGAATATTTAAGATCAATTAATTCAAAGCCTTGTTATATATATAAAGAAATGGACAGTCATTAGAAAGATGGCACTGATTTCTAGATAAATCAATAGACTCTTTAAGGTAGGGAAATAAATAACAATGGTACCAAAAGGAAGCATGTGGAAATCAAGAAACTGAAGGAAAGAAACTGCCAGAAAACTACATTTTAAGACCTAAGTTTTGTGCTAGCCATGCCATGTACAAATAAGTACCATCTAGGGCAACAAAATCAAAGTTAACAGAAAAATAATGCCTATGTCCCCAATCTACTCTGAAAAGAAGTATGGCAACTAGAACAAAAGATGGAAAAAACAACCTATTACACATGAGGCTTCAGGGAAACTCTGGCTAGCCAGAGGGAGGCAGAGCCTAGAGGGGAATGCTGGTGAGAAAAATGTCTGGAGACAATTAATCCAACATTTTATAAGCAATCACTTACACTCTTGTAAGATTACTAGCCCAGCTTATAAGAAGAATATCACCAATGAAAATAAGAAAGACAACAAAAGTTGTATCAACATGAGACCAGCAAAAAATTGTTTTATGTGAAAAAGAAAAAAATTATAAAAAATAAATATTAAACAACAGAAAGATTATGCCATGAATCACATGAAAATTATAAGCAATGTATTCTTCCATAAAAGTAAAAATAAAATAAGACTCTTGTTTCTAATAATAGTGGACTAGTTTAAAATAACAGTTGTTCTAATAGTAGACCAAGCACTCTCCATGAAAATAAGCATTATTATTACATAAAACATGGGGAGAAAATGTCTTAAAGTCAAAGAGCTGAAAAGTATAACAAACTTCCTGGCCAAATTGAAGGAAAAATGTGAACCCAGAACGATAAGTGAGCAAGGATCTGTTTCCCCCAAGCAAAATTAACAGAAGTAAACCAACTCTCAAAACAGTGAATTAAATTGCAGGTTCACAATGCTTGTACAGTCCTCTAGCTTTAAACCTAATTTAAGGTAATCCAGAAATGGTATTCCAAACAGTCACCAGGCAAAAGCAAAAGAAAATCCTTTCTGCACAAAGGCATCTTCTTCTTGGGCCTCAAATTATTTACAAAAAGTATTTTTTTAAAAAACAATAATTAGTATATAATCAAAGATAAGGAAGAACACAAAGAAATACACCATGCACAAGAATCAGCAGAAACAAGACAACAGAAACAACCTGTGAAAACTTTAGATATTGCCATTACACATACTTTTAAAAATTATCTTCATGGTTTAAAAAGAAAAGATAAACAGCACTTACCTTGGAAAATTCAGAAAATTGTTATTTTTGTCCTTTTCCTAATTCATCTACTATTTTTCATTTCTTTTTGTGAGAGGCAGGGCAGTATAGTAGATATGCAGGGGCTTCAAACATGTATTTAAATATCTCACCACTTTTCAGCTACATGAACTAAGGGCAAGTTAACTTCTTGCTTCTGTGGCCTCACCATCAAAACACAGATAATTCTTACCTTTCATGATATATTTTAGGTATACAAATAAAATCCATTTAAGAGACTATAGTATTCAATAAATATTGGTCCAACTACAATGTTCTGTTTTTTTCTCACATTTTTCCCTCCCTCTTCAACCATACCCCTGTGCTAGTATGCACAAACACATGTACACACACGATCTTTTGCAATTTTTTTTTTTTCCTTTTTTGAGATGGTATTCTTGCTCAGTCACCAGGCTGAAGTTCAGTGGTGTGATCTTGGCTCACTGCAACCTTTGCCTCCCAGGTTCAAACAATTCTCCTGCCTCAGCTCCCCAGTAGCTGGGATTACATGAGTGTACCACCACGCCCAGCTAATGTTTGTATTTTTAGCAGAGACAGGGTTTCACCATGTTGGCCAGGATGGTCTCAATGATCCACCCACCTGATCTCATAATCCGCCCACCTCGGCCTCATAAAGTGCTGGGATTACAGGCATGAGCCACTGTGCCATTAGATCTTTTGCAACTTAATACTATGATCTCCATTGCACCATTTCTTTACTCTTTCCTCCGGCTTGATTACATTCTAGTCTTATGCTATCCAAAATAATGCCCAGATCTACCATATAAATTAAAATTTAAAAGAATTTAGTTTTCTTGAAGAAACAACTAGCTACATTTCAAGTGTTCAATAGCCACATATGACCATGTATCTACTGTATTCGACAGCACACATATAGAACATTTTCATCATCACAGAAAATTCTACTGGACAGCACTGCCAGATTATTCTAATTCTCCTAATAAACTAACCACCTCATTCTTGGTCTAGTAATTTCTCTTCCCCTTTTACCCTCTTTGCAAGTATTCTCTATGGCTTGGGAGGAATGTTCTTTCTTCTCTCTTACAATGTTATGTTTCAGCTTCTCTATTGCATCAATTATGACTTCCAGGTATCTAATTCTATCCCTATACTGTGATCCATAGTTCAATTAATCATTATACAGTGATCTACAGCACTGAATAAATACTAGCGTAGGAATCATGGCAGTGATTGTCTTATGTCTGAGGAGTGTTGGCAATTTACAATGGCCATGAATCCTTGATACAGTAACCAGAGAAGTATCTACAAAATAAGCCAACTGAGTATCACTTATAAGTAAGATCTACTACTCTGTATTTGTGTCATCTTAATTACTTAGCAAATTCTAGGATGCTCTTTGAAGTCCAATCATAAAATATCAGGAAACTAATTACAAACAATCATGTCATGTTGCTCACGTCATCCTTCCATATGCCTTATTACAGGACCTTCAATATAACTGATAGTCAAATTTTTGTTGTTGTTAGTAAAGTGATACATTCAAGTAACAGTTAAGCATATAGGGTAAAAAAAATCAGATAGGCCTAGAGAATTGAGTCCTTATTCTGTTACTTGATAGATATATATCTTTAGATAAATTATTTTACTTAAGCTTCCACATCTGTAAAATGAAGGATACGTTCACTTGATAATCCAAAGGTTTGTTTTAAAAAGCACAAATGAGAGAATGCATCACACGAAGTAAAAACACCTAAAAAGTGATTACAAATAACATTTAATAACAAGGAGACAGTATAATTATAGATAAACTTGGATACCTCGAGCCCCTAAAAATGTGTTATATGTTCATAGGAAACTTAGTGCCTCTTTTAAACATCTCAAACACTCTTTCAAACTAAAACTTTAGGAGAAAAAAAGGCAAGATCATTTTCAGACATAAATACAACTATCACTGTCCTACTCAGGTGACACACCTTTAAAAACCATTAAAAGGTACAGAAAAAAGCAAGAAAAAACAATTTACTGCCAAGAGACAAAGCAATCAATAGAACCAGACTCACATATGAGACAGATGTTGGAATCATCAGAGAGAGAATTTACAATAATTGTAATAAATATCTTAAAGGATCTAATGGGAAAAGTGCCTAACACACAATTTTGGTAAGAAAGTTCAGAAGAGACGTGGGAACTATAAGAACAAACAGAAATAGATCAATGGAACAGAACAGAGGCCTCGGAGGAAATGCCACACCTCTACAACCATCTGATCTTTGACAAACCTCACAAAAACAAGCGATGGGGAAAGGAATCCCTGTTTAATAAATGATGTTGAGAAAACTGGTTAGCCATGTGCAGAAAGCTGAAACTGGACCCCTTCCTAACACCTTATACAAATTAACTACAGATGGATTAAAGATTTGAACATAAGACCCAAAACCATAAAAACTCTAGAAGAAAATCTAGGCAATACCATTCAGGACATAGGCATAGGCAAGGACTTCATGACTAAAACACAAAAAGCAATGGCAACAAAAGCCAAAATAGACAAATGGGACCTAATTAAACTCCAGAGCTTCTGCACAGCGAAAGAAACTATCATTAGAGTGAACCGGCAACCAACAGAATGGGAAAAATTTTTTGCAATCTACCCATATGTCAAAGGGCTAATATCCAGAATCTACAAAGAACTAAAACAAATTTACAATAA